TAGCGCGCAAGTCCAAGGTAAAACGGGAGGATTCTCGAGCGGGAGCGTTGGTTTTTGTTGGGGCGGCGGTTTTCGGCGGCGAGCAAGAGCACCCGCTCTGAGTAAACAAAAAAAATCTCAAGCGGAGGCGTTGCTTTTCCTGGGGTCGGCGCCGATGAGAGAAAGAGTAGCGCGCCAGTCCACGGTAAAACGACAAGAACTCTCGAGCGGGAGCGTTGGTTTTGTTGGGGCGACGGTTGCGGCGGCGAGCAACAACACCAGCTCTGAGCAAAAAAGAAGAAGTCTCGAGCGGGAGCATTGCTTTTGCTGGGGGCGGCGCCCATTCAAAAGAGAAAAGGGCGCCAATCCAGCGTCAAACGGGAGGACGTTTCGGGCGGGAGCGCTGGTTTTGTTTGGGCGGCGGTGTTCGGCGGCAAGCAAAAGCACCCGCTCTCAGTGACAAAACAAGTCTCAAGCGGGAGCGTTTTTTTGCTGGGGGCGGCGCCAATGAGCGAAAGAGTAGCGCGCAAGTCCAAGGTAAAACGGGAGGAGGTCTCGGGCGGGAGCGTTGGTTTTATTGGGGCGGCGGTTTTCGGCGGCGAGCAAAAGCACCCGCTCTGAGTTTTAAACAAGTCTCAAGCGAGAACGTTGTTCTGACTGGGGGCGGCGCCGATGAGAGAAAGAGTAGCGCGCCAATCCATGGTAAAACGACAAGAACTCTCGAGCTGGAGCGTTGGTCAACGGGGCCACGAAGGGCAGCGAGGGGGCCACGAAGGGCTGCAACGGGTCCACGAAGGGCAGCGAGGGGGCCACGAAGGGCTGCAACGGGTCCACGAAGGGCAGCGAGGGGGCCACGAAAGGCTACAAGGGGTCCACGAAGGGCAGCGAGGGGGCCCCGAAGGGCTGCAACGGGGCCACGAAGGGCAGCGATGGGGGCCACGAAAGGGGTGCAACGGGGACACGAGGGGCAGCGAGATCCCGATACCTACGTAAGCTGTGAGGGAGTCCTAAGCGTGAGCGCGACTCCTGGGTGCCTGAATATCGGGAGCGCGACGCTTGAGTAATATGTGGGGGATGACAACGCAAGAGCGCGATGCTTGAGTAGATTGCAAGCAAGTCTCCAGCGAGAGCGCGACTCAAGAGCGCCGAGCGAGCTATTCCTGAATGAATTGTAGAGGAATTCTAAGCGATAACGCAATTCCTGAATAAAATGCGAGGCAACTTCAGGCGGGAGCGGGGGTCCTGACTAAATTGTAAAGAAGTATCAGGCGGGAGCCGTTGTTGTTGCAACCCCGGGGCCAGGGGCACAGTTTTAACCGAGTGATTTTCCTTGATAAAAAGCAAGGTGCGAGCCCCGGGGAAAGCACTTCAATTGAAAAACACAATGGTCACAGGAGGGGGGATCAGCAATAAATATTCTTCAGCAATGAGAACTCAACAACAACAACAACCTCAACAACAACAGCAGCATGATCATTATCGGCGTCGTCATCATGGTCATCAACATCGCCATCGCCATCTGACTCATCACCATCACTATCGCAGCACGCACCACCATCATCATCATCATCATCATCATCATCATCAGCATCATCATCATCATCATCATCATCATCATCATCATCATCATCATCATCATCATCATCATCATCATCATCATCATCATCATCAGCAGCATCATCGCTACCATGACCATCACCGCCGATCATCATCACCACCAGAAACATCAACATCAGCATCCGCAACAGCATCCGCATCATGATCAGCATCATGCTCATCATCATCGTCATCATCCTCCTCATCATCAACACCATCACCATCATCACCAGCATCATCAGCATCATCAGCAGCATCATCATCAGCATCAGCATCATCACCACCATCGTCATCATCACCAGCAGCATCATCAT